CAATACTGGCTGGAAAAGTACAATCATGCACGACTAACTGTACATCGACAGGCCTCCAGATTGATTCTCATTTATTTTGATACATGCCTTATAAGATCCAGACTTCTTTAAACAATGTTGTTTTTTTCACAAACACTACGTGCCAAATCATGACCTTTCATTTTCTATTTGGCTGTACACGTTCATCCACAAGTGGCCCAATCTTGCATAGTGTAAATGTATATTATAACAAAAATATGTCATAAAATATAAATTTTAAAATGAAATTGACTTGCCTATATGATAGTGTGTGTTCTCCTTGTATTCCTCCTTTGTTGGACTAATATTTTCCGAGACTTTGTACTCGATGTTACTAGTATACATGAAACATGATAAAGGCTAACGATCTCTGATCGTCGATACGACGGCACAGCACTTCGAATCGAAAATTCTCATACTCAAATCGCTTTATTCTCCAAAAAAATTTGCCAGCATGCACAACAGATGCCGTTCTTCGAAAATATGGAGATGCTTCGGAGAGATGTACAAGTTTTGGACCATATTTTAACAATGGAAATCAAAACCCATTTTATATTGAACTTGCCCAGGCCGAAAATTACTACGGTGAACGTCTGCGCAACCAGGCCTCCTTTACCGTTGGATTTACAGGGGGGAGGATGCCACCAATATATTAACGATCATATTTTGAATTAAAGCATCATATTCTACCATGCTTTTCAACAAAGAGCCACTGTATATTTCTTCTTCCTTAAATTCCTACAATCTCCGTCATTTAATTTTCTTTTCTTCCACAACATCTCGAGTTTTATACAGTACCCGATCGAAGGAGTTTTTATTTTGAATATCAAATTACAAATAATGTAAACAGTCGCTATCACGGCTGCAATTGGCTGGCTGTTACTGGAAATATCTGCTTCCCCCCTGTAAATCCAACGGTAAAGGAGGCCTGGTTGCGCAGACGTTCGCTGTAGTAATTTTTGGCCTGGGCAAGTTCAATATAAAATGGGTTTTGATTTCCATTGTTAAAATATGGTCCAAAACTTGTACATCTCTCCGAAGTATCTCCGTATTTTCGAAGAACGGCATCTGTTGTGCATGCTGGCAAACTTTTTGGAGAATAAAGCGTTTGAGTATGAGAATTTTCGATTCGAAGTGCTGTGCCGTTGTATCGACGATTGGAAATCGTTAGCCTTTATCATGTTTCATGTATACTAGTAACATCAAGTACAAAGTCTCGGAAAATATTAGTCCAACAAAGGAGGAATAAAAGGAGAACACACACTATCAAATAGGCAAGTCAATTTCATTTTAAAATTTATATTTTATGACATATTTTTACTATAATATACATTACTATAATATACATTTATACTATAAATCTATACTGACCCTTGCGAGATTGGGCCGCCTGTGGTTCATCTTCAGTTGCAAAAAAGCTGTGGGCCCGCAAGGAAGGTTTTCCATAGGTGAGGTCAGTGAGGAAGGTTTAGTGGCCAATGGTCACTAACACCAAAAAAGTAAAATAAATAAATCATGGTTGATTAAGGCAGTTGAGGCTGACAAGTTGTGGTGGCACTATTGTATACTCCAATGTCATAGTCATCTGATATAGTACCTATACCATATGACTATGACATTGGAGAATACTGAGAAGACAATAACTGAAAGTATTCTGTAAAATTAAAATGTGAAGTGTCAAGCATCAGAGATGCCTTAGGCCACATAAAATAACTTGCTTGATTCTCATCACCGCCCAACTGCATTTTAAGAGCCATGTTAAAATTTTTTATATTTTGTTATACAATATAAATGTACCGCCCAACAAAATATTTCAATTATATTTTTACAGGTTTTTTATATTTTATGTTGGGGTTTTAGTGCCATTTTAAACTGCCAATTCAAACAAACAAAAACTAGAAAGAAATTTCATTGCATTTTACAGGAACTTCGGCATTTAGTTCAAGGGTTCAGTCCTTGTTTGTGGAGATATGTTGGAAATGACCGAAATTTGTACTGTAATATTTTATTTTGGTTTATGACACTTCACTTCAGAACTCACAGAAATACAAAATGTTAGGAATTATTTATTTATTTATTGATATATAAATTATAAATATAAAATATAAACCTCCCACCTCTTAGTCTGCTCGCAGACTGCATCCTGCTCCCCCACAGGATGACAGTCTGCTGTCATTCGACACTAATGCCCTACAGCTACTGGCGAAATATGATCGGCAGTTTTTCATTGGTTCATTTCAAAATTATACTTGCATAAATTTGCTTAGGTAATTTCGAGACGAGTATACCAGTTTTACCGATTACATAAAGTTTCTGGATGCTGTTGGGCAGACATTGCCACACAAAAGAGCATTTACTTTTTTGGGGATGAATATAAAATTTGGTTGAATTTACAAATCTGGCATATTTTTTTGCGAGTTTATGTTTCGGTTTCGTTGTATTGTTTTGCTTGACCTTGTCTATTGTCTAATGACCTTGTTTACATAATATAAGTTCTATTTAAAGTAACGTACCTGATTGGATAATAAAATTAGAAAGCCGCTAAAGTGTACAGCATTAGTGACAAATGGTCGCAGACTGTTATCCTTCCATCACAGGGGGGGAGGTACAGTCTGTGCGCAGACTACCCGCCTCTTTGACATTTTTAAAGTGTAGTGAAGAGAATCAAAGAATTTATTTTATGTGGCCTTAAACCATTGCACCACTAATAACACAAGGCTATATTACTAAGAGCTATTCATAATGGACATATATTCATCATAAGAAACTGACATTGAGCATTATTATATTATTCAGAGATTATTTGATTAGATGATTGCAATATTTTTAGAGAATAATTAATAGTTATAAATGAAATAAACCACCAATGCTGTAGCAACTAAACATTGTAATAATTATATAAATATGGCCTTATAAAAAAGCTGAGGAAGAAATGTTAGCATGTGTGATGTGAGTCAGACAAAAATAGTACAGTTTAAATACTGAGTTGTGTAGCTGTCATACGTATTTAATACAAATCGATGGAATATATCAAGGTCCTATAATCAAAATCATTATTTATATACCTGATACCTACACTGTCAATTCCCACAAACTATAAGATTCAAAATCACAAGTACAGAAATATCAAATACCACCTCTGGAATGTTGTTGCCATGGTTTTACCGCTGGTTTTACAGGCGTAAAATCAACAACGTCAGCTGATATTGACAGGAAGGTTGTGTTGCATACAATGAACAAGTAATCAACAATGTAGTTACAAGTTTTGTTGACAAATTGTTCATAGTGGGCAGCAGTGGTGGAAACTCTGAGAAATTTGGGGGGGGGGGGGCGAGTGCCAAAGGCACAAGATTTGAAAATTTGGAACCCTGAAATGGCATTTGCAGCATTCTGAGAGCACATTTTGTAAGAAATTCCAAGTTTTCAAAACATTAAGTTAATGGTGCATTTTGGTATAAATCATGTGGTAAGCATAAAAAAAACAGTAACCTGAACTTGCAGTACAGTACGTAATAAATATCTAAACCAGAGAACTGAATTAAGAAGTAAAGAACACCTGAAAATTCCTACCTAGAGAATTGATACTGTATAGTCCGTAGTAAATTTGATACAATTAATTGCTATTGTTTTAATGAACACTCGGAAGATACTCTATATTATATGTGCATGTATAAATTTACATTCATTCGTATTGTCTCCATATTGACTCTGCCTTGCTCAAATCCCAGTGCGAACGGGTGAAGATTCTAACTGCTGCCAGAAAGAACATCGACTCTGAGCTGTACCCCAACTTATTCAAGGTGATCGCCATATCAAAGACATTGCCAGCTGGTACTGCAACTGTGGAAAGAAGCTTCAGTGTTATGAATCAGATATTGAGCTGGGCTCGCAATAGCTTAGACAGTTCATTGGTCAGTGACTTTATGTTGCTATCCATGAATAAAGACCTGTTAAAAAGGATAAACTTGGACAAAGTGCTTGATCGATGGGTAAATCAAAAATCCAGAATAGTACAGTTTAGGTAAAGACTTGTACCGCAACTGGCGCTTAAAACTAATTTAATTTGACTTTTCTCCGAATTCATAACACTCATTGTGTGATGATTTTTTTCTGTGTTGGTGTAGTGAGTGAGATTATAAATTTAGAATACTTTAGCTTGGTTTTAGCTTGTTTCTATTAAAACTTACCATTTCGTTGCTGTTGTTATTGTAACAAATAGTGCTTCCTTATATTGTGCTTTCATTTTTCAAAATGAATTATGAAATCTAGCTAAAATATAATTTTAGTAAAATTGGGGGGGGGGGGGCGAACGCCCCCCTCCTTAGTTTCCGCCACTGGTGGGCAGCACGCCTGTCAATATCAACTGGGAAACAAAGTTGTTGATTTTTCAATTTTTAGATGTGTAACGCTGTGCTTTTTATTACAGATTCAGAAACCATCACATTTTAAAGATTATGTTGAGTCTATGACTTCTTTTTTTTATATTATTTTATATTCAATATATGATATAGGATGTAGACGTAGTAGGTAAGGACTGTCCAATCTGTCCAAAGTATAAATCTATTACGGCAAATTTATATATTAGAATCATGTACTGTGTTTTGTGCTTTCAGAACCAGTTAAGTTTATATACTGTAGTATATTGCTATTTGATAAAGCCATATTTATTTAATTCATTTTGAGGAAGGTTTGAAAACTTTTACCTGGAGGAAATTTGAACAGGTTTTGCAACTCTGCATCTTCTTACCATTCTTGCCCTTATAAAGCTCACTTTGTCCAAAATCAAAGAGTGCTGAGGCCAGTTTTCCATTCGGTAAACTTTAACTGGTGAGCTGTGTTAGTCTTTCTGAGAATCTCAAGGCAGGTTCAGAAAATGTTGCATCTTGACAGCTTCATAGCATTTCTCTAAGAACACTGCATGCATTCTGGACTGAAGAAACTGCATTACTCACCCTTTGTCTCCACCATCACTTGCATCAGGGCTATATGTGGTCAAGTTCAATTGAGAAATGGTCATTGGAATTGGTCATTGGAACTCCATTGTTGCCACCACCAATGACAAACCATCCAGTCTCTAGATCACTTTGACCATAGCACATTTCTCTAATTTCGTCGACTCTCTGGTTCAATCTGGGACAAAAATAGGCAGCAGGATCTTCCTTGGATACTTCGACGATGATCTGTTCTATAGCCAAAGGAATATGGGAGCACAACTTCCAGCCAGCATACCATTGAGCCTATGACTGCAGCATAAGGACCACCAAGGGCCACAACAAATCGAGAACACCCAACAAGTCATGGACAAAGTCTTGACCACATAACTTGTAACCAAGTACTTCTCGATTGTCATGGTCCTTGAAGGTTTCGATATAAACTTCCAAACTGTCCGCAAGGTTCTTTAGTGAGAGGTAGCTCGAACTCATGACATGCTGATGGGCATAAGCGTCGGTCACCCTAAATGGAAGTTTCAGATCTTTTGCTGTGTGACGGGCCATGCTGTGCATCTTTCCATGACTGAAAAGTTGGTGATATAGCGCAACAAAGCGATCGACAAAAGAAGAATCTTTGAACTCGCTGAAAACTTTGGCCAACCAATAAGTTCTTTGAATGTTTGCATGGCGATAAAATATAATTGTTTTTGTTTGCGGAAACACCACGTAATAAATTTATCTTTCATTTGTCCAACCAGTGAGCAGGGTCCCACTCTACAGGCCACCAAAACCTTTCTTTACAAGGAAGGCCATCTTCAAAAAGGCACATGATAGGCTCGTTCATAGCAGCAATAAATGGTGATACTGGCCATCCATTACTCTTCCTTGGGCTTGCAGAAAGCGATTTCCTTTAATGCCGACATGCTCATCCAGATCTTTAAATATAGCAGCTGCTAAAGCGCAAGCTGTACCACCAGTTGCATCGGAACTTGCATAAACCTCCCTAGCGTCCAGGACAATGCCCTCACGACTACCATTCACCACTGGACAAATGAAGGTGACCTGGTTGGTGATCCGATGGTTGGTGATCCGATGGTTGGTGGACTTATCTGCAGTAACACAAAAAGTGTGGAGGCATTCCCATGTTTGGAAGAGGGGTAGAAAGAAAATTGGTGGTTCTAAGGTCGATGTATGCACATGCTGCTTCAATCATGGCAGGGAACATCTTTCGGGAATGACCGAAATCACCAACGTCTGCACCTGCAGCTTGAAGCTCCGCAATTCGTACCTTGTACTGGATTGCGGCCGACTTCATTTTCACAACTCCAATGGCTGCACAGAGTTGATTCTTTACAATGGCAACTTCCCCGGATCGCCCTTGCCTTACCAACTTCATATGATCTACAGTGTTGTTGTGGGTGTTGGAAGGAAGATGTCGATGGAATGCTTGTTTCTGGCTAAACCATTTCTCACACTTGCCAGCAATGAGTTGTTGATACACTTTGTTTGACAATAATAAACCTCTTGCCAAGCTTCCATCTGCTTTACCAGATGGTCGAAATGAAGACGAAAATGAAATGCGGGTAGAGGACAGAAACTCCTCACAACTACAACACTTTACCAGCCATTCTCCTCCTTAACTAACCTAAAATCTGCAACTTCTTCAAGAAGATCAACAAATTACCGGCTTTAAGAGGCGTACTCGATGAGGGGTCTAACAAGGTTGCTAAACTCTTAGACTGACTTGAACTTGGCAGGGGACTTAATTTTTTTGCCACCTTAGTTGCAATTTTTTCCAGCTAACTCTTCAATGTTAAAAGGGAGGTCACCTTGCTCATTTTTTGAAAGGGAGGGGAGGAAACTTTCCAGTGAGCTTTGAAAGCTGTGATGGCTTGATTGGCTTGGGGTTGGAGCAATCTCAGTCTCATATGATGTGAGATCAACAGGCTGTCGTCATACAATCTGTTCACTGTAGTAATAGAAATGTTGATGCTATTCAATAAGAAAGTTTATTTTTATTTCAATATCTCTATTTCAATAAAGGTTGTCTTCTCTCCTTAAACTATAGACTATGAGTGTATGAGCATGTTGGAGCCATGAAAATACAATTTAGGTTGAGAATTTGAGTTGCATGAAACAAAATTCTTAAATTCAAATGAAACATTTAAAAGTACGATTTAGCCTTTTAGGCCTAATTTAACTGTTCATATGGATCATACTCCTTGTTCTGACTATTGATAGACAAGCTTTATTGAAATAGCTGCATATATTTTCTAAAAAATTCATAAAAGGCCTATTATTCAAGCACTGCATTGGTATGATTTTGTAAGCTGAGCAATGTTAAACGTAATAATGTTTGTAGTGCATTTCAGGGGCGCACATTATGTATGGGGTGGGGGGGTGGGGGGGGGTGTGACACCCCCAGCTTTTCAAAATTAGTCTAAAGTCGGTCCCAAAAAAATGCATATCAGATAAACAGTTCGGTCCCCGAACATCCGATATACTAGGTAGATATATTTATGTAATTAGGATAAATTAAAGTTGTTCATCTTTTTTATCATATTTTCTTTACTTAAAGAGATAAAAAAGAAACATGTGTTAATGTACTTCAATATAACTGCATTGACAAATGAAATAGTGAGTTTCAAAGGCAAACGGCATATTTTGAGTTTTGAAATTTGACCGACATTTGCTGGGTGCAACGTGCTTTGAGGCTTGACATTTTCTTGTAAACAATGTCTTGTATGTCTTATCCGGCGGCTGGCACATCAAACACGCAATCGTTAAAAATCCCGAGAATACTGGATTGTAAAATCAAGAAAATACTGGATAGTTGGCACTAAGATCTAAGAAGAATAGTAAAGACTGAGAATTCATTCCATGTATGTTCTGTATGTATATTTTATGCTGAATTGGCCAAATGGCTAGACACGTGCTTGAGCTTCTTATAATATATCAAACAACTATGTATAAGTGTTAAACTGTAGGCCACTTTAACTATAATCGACACACTTATTTTTTAAGTAAATATAATCGCCAAAACTTAATTGGCTTTGGCCTTTGGGTATGAAACATAAAAATGTATATATGTTGTAGAAAATAATTAAGTGATGAAACATAAAAATGTAGAAAAAAAACTTTTATAGCATATGCGGCCAATAAAGTCAGCATATTCAAGAATGGTGACTTGTATTCTGATTTTGTTGTTTTGTGGCCCTGAGGTTACTCGAAGTAACAGACTTGAAACGTAACAATTGTTTTACATTACACTCGGTATAAAATAACGTGCGGCTTATGCAAAAAAGTGTTTGACAATGACCACAAGGGAAAACATTGCAAGGCCATGCACCCTGAATATACTGCTAGTATGTTACCCCTACTCCTCAAGAATCAAAGACAGTTGGTTTGCTTACATATATATTATGTATTTCTTCTAATGCTTTGTGATTTCTGCCAATTCTGGTGAAATCGTCAGAATAAAAGTAATGTTACAGACTTGCGATGTCTGGAGTCTGGACGTCTAGTCCAATGCTGAAATAATGTAACTTGATAGACATGACACAGCAAAATATTATTCGGTTGTAAACAAAATGTGATACAATTATTTCTATTAGCATTTTAGTTTTCAGTTACAGTAAACTGTAGGCCATATTAGTTCATTAAAAATACAATGTAAAATATTTGTCATATATGCATGATTATTACCTCGGGTCGGTACGACACCGAGGTCTTAAATTCGGCTCCTATTTTTTTTATTTATTGTTTTTCATTTGTGTCGAGCCGCGCGCGTAGTCGAAGATCGAAGGGCCTGCGGAGGAGACGACAACTTCCGGTAAATAAGTGTACTTCCGGCAAGCATCGGCCAAAGCGAAACGGAACCCGAAGCTGTCCTTGCACAAAATCCGTCAGAATTGTTGATTTAAAACCAGAAGATGTGATAATTTTGACATACATGTTTAGCTGGACAACTATTCTCGAGTATATGCTGATATAATGTACAATACATCGTATGCATAGCATGGGAATACCGCGGCCAACTTTCACTTGTTATCTATTATAATTACTGACCCGAATCAAAAGTAATTATTTTCGGCTGGAAGACTACCGTACTGTACGTTGCTGCTTGTCAGGACCGTATGACAAAGAACCTATCCAACGGTACACTAGACATTTGTGAGGACATGCATATAGACATAACCATAGGCACTGTAGTGCATTGTGATAGAACAGATTTCAGTTTAATTAATCGCCCTAAATTAAAATCTCCACAAGCGGAGGTCAATTATAGTGTTCTACTTTACATATTATCATTAATGATAAGGTTTACTCAAATAGCGTATTGGATAAACACGGGAATAGAACTTATGGTGTATTCTGCAAATGCGTATATCTAGGATAAAATCCCACAAGCGCAAACGAAACTATTTCTCTATAAAATTGAACTGAAAAGACTCACAGCGACCGTTTCCAACAGTGCTTCAGGCACCCGACGACACCGTATGGGGGGCCTTTAGCACTGTCACCTTCTCATCTTGGGATGTTCACGTTATCGCGTGTACATGTCAGGGTGACGAAGATGCATTATTGCTAATAATGTCTGTGTGCACTGATGCACGCTGCATTATTTTTAATAATGTTGTGTGCTATTTTAACGCGTACATAGAATATGACGCGTATAAACATTTACCCCTGAGCCGGAATTTCCACCCGGTACGTCTATAATTACACGCTTATTAACATACTCAATTAAAACATAATCAACGCATGTATGCGTTAAAGATAGGTGTCTCATACCTAACCGTACCTCCCGCAATATAACGAAACAAGAGACTAAGTACGAGAATTCACTATTTCAATTCAATATGGCTGCTCGAAGGGTTACTCGTGACTTTAATATAATATAATTTCCATTTTCAGCGGGACAAGTTTACAGAAGCTTTTATTAGAGCAATTCTTCAAAGCAAAACCAGACTATGTCATCACGGAGATGTTTTAAAGCGAGAAAGACTTTAAAAGTAGTGAGCTATAAAGGCGGGAAAGTCAATCGAAGATCAACGCTTACTGTTCCCGTTAAATATGATTCTGGGCAGAATGCAAGTACATCATCATTGTCATCTATTTCTGGTGGGCAATATTCATGCGACTCGCCTCCAGAAGTAAGCTTTGGTGCGGATAATGATGTTGGCAAAACGTTTCATTCGAAACCGAAATGCGGAAAGCTTCGTTTAAAGAAGAAAATAAACAGCTATAGAAACAAGAAAATTAGACTTGGGGATGCATGGCTTGATGTTCGCAACCAGCTTTACTTAGCTGCGTTGGAGTTGCAAGCTTTACCCGAAGAGCAGTACTGCATTATTCCTTCATGCAAAGAAAAAGCGTGTTGCAGATGCCTGGACTGTGGCCCGGTTCATTTCATGTGTGATGAACATACAAGCATGATACATGCTGGTGGCCTGACTTTACACTGTCCTGAGATTTGGAAGGTATATTCTTCACTGTTGTTTTTGGGGACTGCCCAGACATGCTCAGATGTTAGATTTAATTTTCAAAAGCCATGTACGATACTGTAGTCCTAGGTTTATCTGGAAGATCCAGATTAATCCAAAAGTTGTCAAGTTTATACATGCTGACTGGAGACTTTTCAATGAAAACTTTTCAATGAAGACTTTTCAATGGAGACTTTCCAATGGGTTACTGACAGTGTTTTGATTATTTAGTTTCTTTATAGTTTAAAAATGTTTCATCATCGACACACAGATAATATATTAGTTAATAATTCTACTAGTAAATACATATTTAAGCATTCTGCATGTACATTGTAGAATAACAGATATGCTCCATACAAGTTTGGTGGAATGGAGGTGTGGAATACAGAACATAATGCAGATCATGGTTACTGTCGAGACATTGTCGTTATTAACAAAACTGGTATGTAGCTGTTGTGTAGCATTATTTGGTTCAAATTTATTTAGCCTAGCTATTACGCCTCTATGCTGTAAGTCCCTTGGCAAGTATTATTAATAATAGTTGGGCACATAGATCTGGATGCATTAATTCAGTTAAGGGGCTAAATGCTTGTGTTATTTTCATTCATTTTATCGCTAAGGGCCTGGTTATAATATGTAAGTTGTATTATTACAGTTGTATTATTGCTCTGATCATAATACTGTTTAATTCCAAATGTTGGTGTGCTACATGTAGTTGTGATGAAATACACTATTTTAACCATTTCAATAACCCTTTGAGTGGCTGCATCTATTTAATGTTTAAATCATGAGAGTACATTGCATTATGTGGCTTTGAATCGGCATGTATATTTATTGTAAAAAGTGAATATTAAACAGAACAATTTCTGCCCACTGTAGGCCGTCAACATCTTGTTAAATTTAAATTTTGTTGTCATGAGCCTGAATCAGTGACATTAGTGCGACATGGACTGTGGCCAGCATCACCAAAAGAACCACAAGCAGCCTTTGAAAATGGTTTCATGGAAATCCTGAAATATATGTTCTTGGAGTGTAGAGCATCATTAAAATCAATTTGTCAAGCAATAAATTGGACTATGCCTACACTTTCACCTGTCCATGTAAGAATACTTTATCTTGATTTTAATGCCCATCCATATAATATTGTGCATGTAAATATTCAGTAAATCAATATGAACTGAAAATTTATCACAATGGAGACAGAGTGACAGACAATGGGTGAGGGGTACTTCAGTGAGGAGTAATCATTATAATAATGAAACTAGTACATACATGTACCTTGTTCAATCATTTAACTCATTAACTTGCATTACTTGTCCAACACCAGACAATTTTTCTTGTCAATTGGAAGCTCTGCAGCAAGAGGGTTACAAAAGGTTTAACTTAATGAACCCATTAAGTTGCAGAGCTTCCCTACTGACAAGTAAAATTGTCAGACATAAGACAAGTAAGAGCACACTACAGCACAATGCAGCTCAATGGGTTAAACAACAGGCTTGTACAAATGTTTGTGAGAGAAAGGGTGGCATAAGAGAATTTTGAAACTGTCAAGCGAAGCAAATTGTCAAGCCCTTTTAATTAGATGCAATATAGCATTGATGTAATATGTGCCATGCTGGATGTTTTTGTTTAGTAGTATGACTTATACGTAGTTCTTTGAAATGAAAGGATTTGTGGATGTATTCATGCCAAATATAAAATAGACTATTAGTAAACAAAATAATGAGGACTGATAGTTTCTTACATTTTTGAATAACATACTGTAGATTAAAGACATATATCGGCTGCTAGTTGGTGAAACTTTTGGGGAATACAGGTATCATTGCCACTTGTTGGATACATTTGGAGGCAAAAACCAACAACTAAATTGTGACATGCAATGTCCTGCTTGCCCAAAGGTATAGATACAGTAGATTAATGTATAATTGAGTAAATGTACTTTATGCTTACACTAATTCTTCAGGTGCCCTGAGTTTTGTTTTACTTTGTGTTGATACCCAGATTACATTTACATGCAAGTTCAACTAAGCTGCGCTATGCAATTTAGTCCCTTTTCAATGCAAGATGTGTGTCTACTGTTTTGCTTGTCATACAGTATATATGCAGATATACACATATGTCATTTAAATTACCTCTCTGTAGGAAAATGGAAGCATATTTATTTCATTGGATGCTTTATTTGGCTGTGTTCGGAAAGTCAGTGCAGGAACAAGTGTTATATAGACCACCAAACCATGGTGAAACACTTTTTATTGAGCAGTCAAAGGTTGATTCATTTTTGAAGAATTACCAAGGAAAATCATCATTGAAATTACAAGTATGTATATGTACGATGCATGCATATATCACAGTAATATGTGCTCAATGCTAATTACATCCATTTACCATGTATTTACAGAATAGTTAATGAGGAGTAAAATTGTGGACTGAAAGCTAAAATTTTTAACTTTTCATCACAAGGATGGCAATATACATGTATTCAACATTTATCTTTATATTAATAACAGGTTGACACCAAATATAAGACTTTCTACCTTGATCTGAGTATTTACAGTGAGTGTAAGTGAAAAGCACACAATTTTGTTTCCAGGAATCATGCAATAATTTTCAAGCTGGTTCCAGTCTAAGGTCTAAAGTAAAGACAAAGAAATTGGATGAAACAGCCATATTTGGCGCTGGGTGCCGACATGAAGTTCCAATAAAATTCTTTAGTCTTAAAAGAGGAGAACAGTAAGTCAATCTCTGAATGTTTTCCATTAGTTTACAGCAATACATTTACTGTACAGTATGGTAGTCAGACATCTTATTGACCAGTGGCTTCAAAAGTATCTGTAGTGTGTGATTTACCCTCAGTGTTGTATGATCTACAGTATAACTTCATGGCATATCACCTGTTCATTTTACATTATACATTATGTAGGATTGGCAATGCAGTTTATCTGCTGAAATGGCTAAAACAAAATTTTGCAAATCTGGATATCTATCTATATTATGATATCGCATGTACACTGGAATCTCACTTAAAGGTTGTGTGTCGAATCTATAACAATTATAATTTACGTACGAATTTACAATAAATGTTTTGCTATTACATGTTTTTTTATAAAGAATTTAAGAAAGTTTTATTGGGTTTTATTCACCAATCATACATTAGTGTAGGTAATCACACAAGATGGAGTGCAATTAATGATTGACACTACGAGTGATTTTTGGAAAGTGTGCTAAATTTGTCACATTTTTCAGAAATCACGAATAGTGTAAATCATTAATTGCATGACTGTTTGTGTAATTATTTATTTATTATATTCATGACAAAATTATAACTATACTCCCACCCGCAGTATTTAACTATTCTCGTGGATAATTTAATTTCCATTTTAACATCATAGTTTCGGCACAGAGCCCATTCCTTCTAAAACTTTAACCAACTAGCAGTACTCATTTGTGGTTAGAAAATGCACTGCCATTTTCTTTTTTCAACTCATTAGTTGCACTGCCATGAATGAAATTAATGAAATTCCTCTTAACCAATAAGATTGGAGTAATTTTGTCATGTATATATCATGACACATCAAAGTGATGATCACACATGTGCTAAGTATCTATTTCAATCATTAAGCTAGTTTTGTTGTACGATTTCGTGGTAAGCAAAACTCAGCCATATTTGAATAGATCATTATCATCGATTTACAAAAAAAGCTTAAATAGATGATGATCTATTTAGGGGAAACTAATGAATGCCTAACCCCCACCCCCTCCATAACCCCAATATAGACAATACGTTATCACTCATTAGGGGTTAGGGAGGGGGTGAGGTGGGGATTAGGCATTCATTAGTTTCCCCTAAATAGATCATTATCATGCATCTATTTAAGTTGTTTTGTAAATCGATGATCTATTCAATTTTCAGATTGGGGTGACACTGTCTGTATTGAGATTTTTCATGTAATCAGGAAGTGTGAGATAAACAATTTTATTTTGTATTTTCTTAAGAATATTATATATAATTTATAGTCAGCATTTTATACCAAGTCTGTGTATTCGGTTTGCAATTTATACTCATTCTGCACATTATACCTGGTCTGCGGTCTGCAGTTTATACTGACCGACAATGCACTTGTACCATACTTAATATGAGCATTTAGCATGTCTGAAATTTTTTTGGTATTGTTTAACAGGCAGCTACAACTTGTGTGTATATTATATTATCATAAATAAATACTAAGGTTAGCAGATATATACAAACAAAAACCCCCAAAACACATAAACACATATGCCCTATAAACACATATACTCTGGTACATTATACTGTTGTATGATACACATGTGATGTGAGTGGCAAAATGAGCAGAAATAAACAATACAATCTTTAATTATTAATGATATATCATGAGAACTTTTTAAAATTAACTTTAATTTTGCTGCGTTTCGGGTAGTTTCACTACCTGTCTTCAGATAGTTAGACGAAGTTGTAAATAGCCTGAAGATGTTTAGTGCAACTATCCAAAATGTAGCAAAATGAAAGTTAATTTTAAAAACTTCTCATGATATATCCTTAATAATTAAAGATTGAAAGAATAATATAAATGCTCATATGTACAAATTATCTGTTTAAATGCATTTTATGAGAAAAATACAAAATGCAGCCAATTTTGGGGCTAAGGTGGGTTGAGGCTTTGTGGCTTAACCCATTAAGCGCCAGTGCTCTCCTTTTCTCGATTCTCGAGTAAAATTGTCTGGCGTTAGACAGAGTAAAATACTAAAGTAGGGTGCATCAGGGTGCAATGCGACTCAATGGGTTAACTAGACACATGGGCAGATAGGCCAGTTAACCCATTAAGTGCCAGCACTTTCCCCTTGATGAGTAAAATCATCTGGCGTTAGACAGAGTAAAATACTAAAGTAGGGTACAATGCGACTCAATGGGTTAACCAATAAGCTACAGAACTTCCCCATTGACGAGTAAAATCATCTGGCTATAGACAAGTAAAGAAAAGAAGCAAGGCGCACTGAGGTGCATTGCAGCTCATAGCTCAATGGATTAATAATATAAGGCACATTTTGCTGCAATACAGCTGGTTAATATGGTTCTAATATATTCACTATATCAATTACATCAACTATCTATGTATGTACAGTACCTTTAAGGAGACTCTCGCTGGCAAACATGTTAAACCCAGACCTTTTTCTGATAAGCTTACTTTTTGCTTTCCTTGCTGATATGCGTCCACTTATTTTGGACTTGTAGTTATTTATCCAATGCTGGAAAAGAATTAAAATCAATAAAATCAATAACGACACATGAATACCAAAACATCTAATATAAAACAGTAAAAACACATACATTTATATATATAATAATTAATAGACATACATTTTAATAAAATGTATGTCTATTAATTATTATATTAGATGTTTTGGTATTCATGTGTTGTTATATTGATTTTTAATACAATAAATTATTCTCATGTATTGTTATTGATTTGACCCTCAGATTCATACTATTAAACCATTCTTAAAAATCCTTGATGCCAGAAAACTTGCTCGTCTGTAACCGGCTTAATACCAATTCTACAAATATTCTCCCATTATTGATCTCAAATTATATTAATATTCTCCCATTTCATGTTAATTTGAAGCCTTTGTAGAGGGGAGAGAAGACTCCCTATTTATTCTCATCATTATGATGGAGGCACCATTCTCCTTGTTTTTACCTGTTGCATGTTCACTGTTGCATTGGAGACATCAAAGGTCAAATGATATAAATATTCATTTTAAAATATGAACTCGCATAGAAAATAATTATACATAATACATAATATTATATAATACCTTAACTTGATGTTCTGATAGCTTCGCACCATTTGCACATTCTTTAATCAAGGGCAACTTTTCCTTTTTCGACGAATCCATGCTCTTATGAAGGAAGAAATACTTTAAAATTTCCAGTGTTTCTTCGTCAATTACCAAGCGAGTACGGCCATGTTCGTCACCTGGTGCTTCGAATTCCATTTTAAATATATGCAAAAGTAATAAAGTATGCAAATCTTAAAACACGCTCTGCAATTATAATTCGAATAATGTCTGCCTTCGACTTTAAAGATCAAGTTGATCAAGTGTGTTGTATTATAATATTCAAAGTCAGAGATTCAAAGTATTAAGAATACCCAGACAGTCTATTAAAATTTTCAATATGGCGCGAAGTATGAATGGCGAAATTTACGCGCTATTATTATGCGCGTGGAATACACTTGAAGACTGGATGCGATAGCTTGGGAGGTACGGTTAGGTATGAGACACCTATCTTTAACGCATACATGCGTTGATTATGTTTTAATTGAGTATGTTAATAAGCGTGTAATTATAGACGTACCGGGTGGAATTTCCCTATACAAGTATACAACCAAAAAGGCTGCTCCCGTTTTTCAGTAGAACGTTAAATGAAAACTTCTCCACTTCGCTGATATAATGCAGAGAGAAAACAATAGGTTTGATGAGGGCCAGTAATTATTGTCAATAAAATATTAAAACGGAGCTTTAATTAACTGATTCACCATTTATACTAGTGAACTATTAAACTATCGTGATTTACACAATTTTTGGATATTTACCAGACGATCCCCTATCCACCGACCCGAGGTTAACGCCGAGTCGGCGTCTTGTTCACATTAAATCTGAGCTGCTTATTTACAACAATATCATCACTGATCAGTAAGGGTAAGGGTTTTTATGACAGTGTTCATTACACATGTTCATTACTCATCATTGCATGGCTTGGTTTTCGCATTTTTGTTTCTCAAACTATGCTATGTGCAAGGAAAGTGCCAAGTGCGTTTGGGTTTGACACTGTATAAACTAACTTCACAAACGGTATTTGGCGTATAAAGGAAATTATTATGCCTTGCAAACATTTACTTATGCCATGTTTAGTACGACTATACGAGATAAAGCTAGTACGGGTTTCCTTTATATATACTTATATGCATCTATACTAGCCCTAATATATAATAATGGTACATACTGAATGTAAATTCAAATATTGAAATATTGACATGTTATACATAAATCATGTTTCTATTTAGCCACAAGGCTGAGTCACAAGAATGTTAATACTCTATAACCATTAAGTGAGTGTGATAAGCGCAAGCACAGAAAAACCGAGAACTGATTAATGCAAGGTTAATCTAGTAATCGCCGAATCACGTCGCTACAAGCTGCGTGCCTTTTGTGTGGAGCCGCAAAAGTGCCTGAGTACGAGACTGAGGAGAATTATAAATTACTACCCACGCAAATAAATTGGTAAACTATACCGCAGATCTAAGATTGCTAGTAAAATTATAGATTGCAAAAATATTGGATTGCTTACAACACAATTACACAAAGACGCGAAACCACTGACACACACGACGTGATAGCATAACTAGTATCATCTGCGCACTCGATACTCGATAGCATTATATATCTGCTCACACATAAACACATTTAAGTGATTTAACGATAGCACTGATTCATTGTTTAATCTAAATCGTTTTCAGACTAATTGACAGAAATGTTCTAAAATTGTTTTCGTTGATAACATCTGTATCTGAGTAATCTCGGAACATGCACACAGTTTAATATCTACGGTTTTCCTGAACTGCATTCATTCTATATAAAATTTATTGATTGATGATATCGGTTATTGAAGGTTTCTAGAAGTCTTATAGGAGTAGAATATATATATATAAATTCTAAATATCAGACCAACCATAGCCTATCATGAGCCTGGGTGATCATGATGGCTGTGAAACTCATTAGAATAACAATATAACGCATTATCTACTGTATGTCCGTTATTCATAAATCTGCTTTTTCACCGTCACGTGCGTATTGTATTTTTGCCCAACTGGCAACTAACCAATATCAACGTTTTAGGAAAGTTACCTATCCGTGACTCAAACAATAGGAACCACTAACTCAAAGGCGAAAGGTGCTTAATTGCTCTAACGAAAGCGAATGCTGCAGTATACCACAGAATACGTGCTGTAAGTGGTATCAATGCATGTTCAAGAGTACTAGGCCCCGGTTTACATGCCCCAGCTAGGACGAAGTCAAACTGGAATGTGAAAATTTAAATTATCAACACTACCGTGTTTACCGATGAGACCTGTACGAAAATCACAAACTTTCGAATTCATTCCCCTTGCCAGGCAATTTTTTTAGATAGCTTTTTTAGAGTACCCGCGCTCTCAGTTATTTCGTCCCGGTCTAAGCGTGCAAATCGTAATGGGAGCATCATAATCAGTTTAGAAATCATACATGGGGTTCATTTCTTACAGACATGGTAAATATGTCCTTATACGAGAACAATTAATTCTTTCACAAATAGCTGTAATATTTGACTACTAAGCTTGAAACTTGTGCTCCCATTAAGCTTTGCACGCTTAGATTTTTTGCAAGCTTTAAGGTTTAAAGAGTTTAAGGTTTGAAAAAGACATATACAAGGTTTTTTTAATTGGCTGTAAATAATACTATGACCGAAACGAAATGTTCGGACTTCGTTCCGGTAGTTTTGTATCATGATCTTAATCCTCGCGACCACTCTCCTTCGCAGATGGGCTTTGATTCGTCTGTTTTGATTCTGTCTTTAATAATACGAATTTAAGTTTAATTTAGAATTTTTGTAATGTTAATTAAAAAAATGTTTACATAGTCATAGTCATAATCATGACGTGTACCGTAAATTAAAACGCCAGTTCGCGATCGGAGTTCACGAAGCCATCTTGCAAAGGGGGCAAAATTATCAGAGATCATATCTGAAAAAATGAATCACGTGAAAACTCTCGTATAAACGGTTTTTCGTAAAGAATCCGAATCAATTTGTTCCGGTCTACGTTTTTCAAATTTATTGTTATTAAATTCAACCGCCAAACAGGGATCAAAACATAGCATAATATCACTAAGAAGGTTAAACTACTATACTTAGTATATTGACCATCACTGTGTTGGGCTGTGTGTAGACTTGAATCAAATGCGTCTCTCTAGAATCCGAGGGAAAGCGCGAGGTGCAATAACGCGGGAAAGTTTGAGGAGTTCCCTCCTTTCTTGCACCTGCCTCGTTGCTTCGCGACTCGGACTCTAGAGACCACTATTAGTGACCACTACTTAATTTACGGTATTCGTAAATTTTATACAACCCAGGGAGCCCCGGAAGTTGTAGAATATCGGGATTTCAAGCACTTTAATGAAAACAATTTTCTTTTTGAATTGGAATCATTATCAAGCCTAAATTTAGACCATTTAGATCCCAACATTTCTTGGTTAACTTGGAAAAATAAATTTCTTCATATTGTCAATAAACATGCACCCTTAAAAAACGTAGAGTGTCTAAGAAACGTGTACCTTGGTTAACCCGTGAGTTAAAATATTATAAACGCCAAAAAGCATATCTTAAACGAAAGGCAACTTTATCTAACTTAGACGGCGACTGGGCAGCCTATAAATCATTGAAGAATCATTACAATAGATTGATTAAAAGTACAATGCGTCAACACTATCAAGAAAAGATACATAATAATTCAGGTGATATTAAGAAAACATGGAAAATAATCAATGAGGTGATTAACAAGTCAAAAAAGCCAATAAAGTACTACAGCTTAAAAATGAAAATAACGAAATTATTGATCAAGCGGATATCCCAAATCAGTTTAACAAATATTTCATTGAATTAGGGGATAATTTATCTAATGATATACCCTTATCAACGTCAACTCCCGACAGATATTTTACCAATTTTCAATGTCCAACTGACACTTTATCGCACTTTAAAGAGGTATCAGAGACTGTAATATTGAGATTGCTTTCTAACTTAACTATATCCAAGGCATCCAGTCTGGATCAAATTTCGGCTAAAGTTTTAAAAATTGCAGCACCATCTATTGCTCCATCACTTACTTTAATTTTTAATCAATCAATCCGCACTGGCATATTTCCATCTGACTGGAAAGTTGCGAGGGTTACACCAATTTATAAATCTGGGGAAAAATTCTGCATGTCCAATTATAGACCTATATCCGTTATTTCAATTGTTGCAAGAATCATGGAAAAGCTAATACACAACCAGATGAATATTTGATTAA